ATGCAAAAAGCATTACTTATAGCCACTTTTGTGGTGGTGGGGAATAAATTGCGGTCCAGACTTTTTTCGGGAGACCGTGCCAGGCAATTGCTGTCGGGCGGAATCAGGCTGTCCAATTAAATGCCTTTATCGCAGATTAACACCCGATGCACCCATCTATCAGTCCCCGTTGTTGCTTGTCCTCGTGGACGACATGGCTATTGCCCTCCTTGATACACCTCAGGAAAGCTCCTAACTGTACGGGAACCGCCAGACACTCAAATCGACCGTGTGGGCAGTAACCGCCACTTCGCTATTTACGAGCACCGGGCCAGAGGGGTTCTCCGTTGTAGTGATTCTCGGCTCTGCGAGGAAGGGTTCATGTCTCTTGGGCGGGTTGATGTGACTGAGAGTACGTGTTGGGCTTTTCTTGACGCTCGAGAACTTACATAGAATGAATTTCGCCTCCGTTCAAGCTGGACCGTCGCACACTTGTTCCTCGGGGACGAGGATTAGGCAGTTTAATGGAAGCAGTTTGATGGAAGCCGTTTAAAATCTTATAATACCACCCGTCATGCGCCAAATATCCCTAGCACATTCGTGAAGAGGAAGGTTACGAGGCAGGCTGGTTGCCCCTTAACGCCGTGGGGCGTAGCGAGCTGAGGGTGCTCCGGAACTGTCACTATGGCAGAAGCAGTAAAAAAAACAAAAAGACACCTTCACCTCCTAAAAGCAGCATTGCATGAAAACATAACATGAACTCGCCCTCGTATAATGTCCTAAGAAAAAACTCCAGCAGCCCATCTCTCTATTCTCCCTCCCTTCCACGCACCCGAGCACATTTCCCAACAACATAGTCAACACCCCCAGCTCATCACACAGCCTCAAGCAAAGCCCCGCTTCAGAGCAGCGACCGCGTCATCCGGGCTGGACGGGAACACGAGCCGGGGCGTGGGCTTGATCTCCTCGATGCAGATGTTGACCAGCTGCTCGAACAGCGGGGTCCGGGCCAGGTCGCCGCGGACGCCGCCGCCGATGGCGACGATCTTGAAGGGCGTCTTCTTGATCTGCTCGCGGACGGTGGCGACGTTGGCGGCGTCGTCCGCGGCCGGGTCGAGGATGCACGGGACGGGCGCGAAGCCGGCCTCGACGGCGAGGCGGGCCTGCGCGGCCGTCGCCTTCTTGATGTCCTCCTCGCTGAAGGAGCCGCCGCTCTTGAGGCCCATGACGAGGACGGGGATGCCGCTGGGGGAGGACATGTTTCTCCGAGGTGCGTGTGGTTTTGTTGAGTTTCTGAGGGTGCTTCGGGCGATGAGTGGAAACCGCGAGAAATGCCGAGGGAGGATGGTGTGCGTTGGTGTTTAACAAGGACCAGAGGGCTTCGGTTGATACTGCTGCGGTGAGAATAAACAGATACGTGCTTGTTCCAGAAGTGGTGATCAAGAAGGTTTTATAGACATGCGCAACCCACGGGATCCTAGCCGGAACTCCAGGGGCTAGGAGATCCGAGGAAGTCCGAGCCTAGATGCGCCACCCGTCGGGATTCGCGCACGTCTTGGAGCGCGAAGGGTTCAAAACCTGCAAGGCCGGCAATATTGTTCCTCCGCTCGTGAAGAGACACCATCTGGCTTCCAGTCGCTGTTGTGGAATTCATGGTTTACGCGAGGACGGAGCGGGTCATTCACCATGGTGGTCAGGGCACCTGCCGAGGGGTAGGCACCTAGGGGTAGGCATCTAGGCAGGGGTAAGTACCTAGGTATGTAGGTAGGTACTTCGATACCTACTTCTGGCTTTCTCGTGCCCGGAGAGGGTTCTGTATCACGACAAGGCGGGTGGCCCTGCGGCTGAACCCTTGAAATCGTTGGACGACAAAACCGAAGGCTCGGAGGTAAGGCGAGCTGGGTGCCTGGCCCAACATCCCCACTACAGCTAACCTAAAATGGGTCCATGAGGCAAGCGAAAATCCGAAAAGCGGGAGAACGGGCCAATACCTTCGCTTTTGGGGGCGAAACCCTCCGTCTGTGGGCGCTTTCGATCCCAATTCCTCTGGGTGTTTCCAATACCAAAACAAGAGAGCTAAACCAGTGCTCAGGTAGGTGACCACTGCGGAATCCCCGGTGTTTTATACTTTTGTTGCTTTTTCTTTTTATCGTTTCGTTCGTTCTCAGGCCCTCGGTTGGCTTCCGCTTGCGTGGGCCGCTAGATACTGTACAGCGCTCTGCTCCTCAACATCCTCCCTCACTCGACATCGTTCCCGCTGGGCGGCAGGGCGTTGTCTTCCATGCCCACGCCCAGGTCCTCCTTCATCCGCTGGCCGGCCACGACGAGCGGCTTGCAGTCCTGCAGGCAAAAGATCATCCTCGCCCACTCGGTCTGGCTCGGGTTGCGCCAGGCGTGCATGGTGGCGCGCTGCACCATGACGTCGCCGCGGCCCATGCGCGTGACCTCGCCCGAGTCGAGGACCGACTCGATCTCGCCCTCGAGCACGACGCCGTAGTCGAGGCTCTGGGTGCGGTGCATCATGCAGCTGTTGCCGGGCGCGAAGTCGACGAAGCGCAGCACGGTGCCCGACGCCCGCACCAGGCCGTGCGTGGACGTGCCGTCCGGGCCCAGCGTCGCGTCGTGCGCGGCGACGTCGGCGTCGCCGTTAAGGTCCGCCGGGAACGAGGACGTCGTGTAGGCGACCGACATGCCGACCCGGCCCGAGTCGTACGACGTCCACTTGACCGGCCGCCGCGAGTGCACCACGGCCTTGCCCGCCGCGTCGTGGCCCGTCAGGTACGTCGTCGGGCCCGGGAGTTCCTTGGCGAGCTGGTTCTCGGTCGGTGGCCGGCTGTCCATGGTCGCGGTTGGTTGTGGGACGGGTATATACCGAGGTGGGTAGGTAGAGGGGTATGTAGGTAGACAGGGACGTCACAGCACTCAAGTCTTTGGTTTCTGGCCGTGGTGGATTCAAGGGTGCTCCACGTCTGTTTGGAAATGCCGTCAGTTGAGATGTCCAGGGGGGGGGGGGGGGGGGGGGGAGGACACCAGCCAAGAACAGGCGCGGGGTAGGTCACAGTCTTATCGAGGGGCAGACTGCTCTTCTTTACGGCCGAGCGAGCCGGACACAGACATTCCTCGTGTAGTATTCAATGATTCACGCATGCTTAGATTAACCGGTGTGGCCACGGGTTCCGGGCCAAGCGCGAGCCAGCCGCCTGACGCTCGTGTCAGGCTTGGGCAGCTACAGGCCGTCGGGGCGTGAGGCGAGGCCATCGGAGGTCCGAGAATGGTGCATTGGCTTGCAGTCGGACATTCCGGCTCATTGTTTCCAGTGCACCTCCCACCACGATTGGAACCAAGAGGATTTGGGTGGCAAAGACATTGTGTGCTAACTGAGGATTGGCAAGCGCTAGCCTGGCAAAATATCTTTACGCGGCAGAAGTCAAAAGACATCGCCGGCCCAACAAAGAGCAAAAACAAAATCCGATCGAACTCCTCCAGTCAAAACAATCTTCTCCCTATGCAAAACAATCCTCCCTTTTCCGCCGTCATGAATCCATGTCTTAATAAAAGCAAGAAAAGACAAGTTATGCAGCCCTGCCCAAACGAAAAAATAAAACCCAACCCATGGCTGGAGCGCAGCTAGTAGACCTCAGTGACGTCACGCTTCCGGGCCTCGCCGCCGCCGCCGCCGCCTGTGACGGTATTCCAGAGACTAATGCCTTTCTTGATGCCATTCATTATAAGGCGGGCCCTGGGGTCGCGGGCCATCAGCTCAGGGTCGCGAGCCTCGATATCGGCGGATTCCTCGGCGAACTCCTCGTATTCGGGGGCCTCGTCGGCGATGTCACGCTTCCGGGCCTCACCGCCGCCGCCGCCGCCTGTGACGGTATTCCAGAGACTAATGCCTTTCTTGATGCCATTCATTATAAGGCGGGCCCTGGGGTCGCGGGCCTCGAGGGCGTCCTGGCCACGCGCGTCGAGCACCTGGATGTTGCGGGTGTCGAGGACAGCGCCCTCGCCGCCGTAGACGCTGGGCATGGGGGCGGCAAGCGCCTGGCCAAGGAGCATGGCGGCCAGGGCGGCCTTGACGACATCGTTGTTGGCGAGATGCATTTTGGCGTTGGTTGGTTGTTGGAAGGATGAAAAGGGTGTGCGGAAAAGGGAGAAAAGGCAAAGGGAAAAGAAGAGATGATGAAAAGAGACGACGAAAGGAAGAGACAAAAGGAAAAAACAGAAGGAAAAATGAAAAACAGAAACAAAAGGAAATGTTGTCCGGTGGATGAGGAGAGAAGGGAAAAAAAGTCCAAGTTGTCGACGAAGGATGTCAGATATTTATCCTCATTCTTGACACTCTGCCACAAGCAGCAACCCCACCAGCCATGACAGCGTCACTCATTCGGCTACCCCTGCAGGCACGCCTTCTCGTCTAAACACCCGATCTCCTGCCGCGGAGGTTGATGCTATTCTCGACCGCGCACCCGGGGTCGCTTGTAAAAGGCCCAAGCTGTCAAAGCGGCAGCTCTATCCCCACAGAAGCAAGATCGATTCAGGGATCTACCGTCGACCAAAATATAAACGAACGCATGATATCTCTTGTGGGGGCGACCAGCCATTTTTGGTGATTTTGACTCGGGTAGTCGACAGGGGAATCAGGGGCACTGGCCAATCACAACACGCCCCTGACGACGTTGCCGACGGGGGTCCTCCCAAGAATACCGTGCGCTGCCCGATTTGGAAAAACTTTGGCCGTCGGATCGTCGCGTTCAACTTGTTTCAAGATCCTCGGTTAACTTTAACCTGGGCCGTGCTGTCGCCTCGGCGCCCAGCCAGATGGCAGATCTGCCCACGGCGGACGACCACGCTTCACTCGCCCACACGGCAACGCCCTTCCGACTGTTGGGCGTGTTGGCTCAAATATCACGCCGTCATTGGCGGGAAAAGCCTCCCTCGCATCACTCGTATTCGCTTTTTTGGACCTCTGGGACTCGTGGCCCCCCTGGCGCCCCTTTGGTGGGCAGAGGGCGCGCTGGTGATGGGACCTTGCGTGCCAGGGGCAACAAGGACAGAAACAGAACAGAAGAAAAAAGGTGCATAGTCGTGTTCGCCGCCGGGATAAACTGCAACCTAGCCATCGACCTAGCGGCCTCGGGGCGTGCCAGGCGGCCGAGGATTTTGGCCGAGCTGACCGCTTTCTCAAAGCATGGTGCCTAGAGGCGGGTCTTAAACTTTCTATACCCTAGAAACCCCTGGGCACCAGATCGAGCTCGGCTGTGCCCATCCTCTAGCACAAACCAGGACAAGCTTCCCAAGTCCGACCGTGCCCTTCCCTTGCGCGCAGGGTCTCACACTCCCTTTGCTTTCAACGAATGGCCTCGGGTGCACTTGTCGTTGATTTCTTGGCAGGCACCCTATCTTGTTGATCGAACCTTGCCACTGATCCTGCCTCGGCTAGCATTGTCTTGCCGCACATTTGACTTCTGGTTTAGTACTCAAAGAACTGGCGCTGTCGCGTCACGGTAGTACTTGAAAACACCTTCGGTCAGTTCAATGTTCTCACCAAATAGATCTATCTGGAAATGGGCATTGTTTGCACCAGCTGTTCATCTCCGTGGTCCTTCGGCCCCATAAAGACACTGACAGCGTTGGTCCTTGCACAAATATTGCTAAGGCGAGCCTACCCGCCTCCGCGCCGCTCCTCTCCCGAGTTAGGTTTACTCGGTTCCCGAGACGAAGCGCAAGAGAGCCCGAGGCATGGCGTCGCCTTCGGGAAGCCGTGCGTGTCTCATAATCTGACGGCGTCCGCCGAGCGCCACGAGCCGCATGGACAATGTATCAAGTTGAGGTTCTTGGTCACGATCGCGCTCCGCCTAAATTTCCGTTCGGACACTGGACTCTGACCGCAGTGGCTCCCGGACTGTCTGAAGAGGGTACATGAGCTTCCAGGTTTTGGCTATCGCGAGGTTTCTATCCAGGGAGAAGCTGGACCTGGTCCGGCGGAACAAGGGTGAGAGGATTGAACGCGGAAGGCCGGACGAAGTTGTGCCACCTGCTGCGGTACGGGGCTAGTGGTCCGCCTAACTAGTAGACATTGCCACTTTAACACCAAAATGGGACTGCCGAAGTAGGAGAGGGCGTTGATGAAGATTGCGCCACGAGAACCTCGAGGCTTGATAGCGAGGACTAGGATATCGGCCATGCTGCGTCACAAGTTATCATTAATGTCATGGGCTGCCATGGCTATTAGTCAAATCGTGTGCGCATCGCCCCAAGTCAACTTGCAAGCCTCCGCCCATTGATCCATGTGACGTGGATTGCACGCAACCACAGCGTCAGCAAAACATTGAATGTCACCATTGGGTACAGTTGCCCCTATCTACCGTGGGGGTGTTGTAGCCCGGCCATCAGCCTATCTGATGCCCTCTTCGGGGGCATTCATCGCAATTAATATCTTCATCCCCAGAATCTCGCCGAGGTTTTCGGTTCATTTTATACTCCATCCGTGCCATATGTGTGCGACTAGATGCATGGGGTGTCCGGACGAATCCGGCCAGCTCGCCATGAACTGGCGATATTAGTTGTGATGGTTGGCAGGTTGAGTCCAGCCGAGGGAATTCTCTGTGGAAGCTGGTAGCTCTGGTATGCTGACGAATTATTTGCTTCTATCGACAGTTTCCTACAAAAGATCGAGCTAGAAAGCCATGACTGTGAACAACTGCTTACACCGGAGCTGCTTATGGCCCCCAAAGGGCCGGACCGACCCCAATGGCCCCCGCTACCACACCGAGCTGCGCAAAGGAGATGCTGATATCAGCGAGCGAGTAAAAAGAAAGAATAGGATATAGCCAGGCTCGGCTCGAGCCGCGCACGCTGGCTGTGCGGCGTTTGACCGGCAGGTAGGTCAGGGATACGAACCGGGCCTACGTTGCTGATTGGGGGATTGGAAAATTCGTCAGCACAGCCCTACCAATCCTCTCTCTGGATACCCAGTGCCTGTAGTGAGATTGGTAACGCCAGGCCAAGAAAAGGGGTGGCATGGAGTTGGGCAAACGTGGAGGGCAGTCTCCAGCACTGAGGCAGTGCTGTCAGCCTAGGCAAACAGCCGGACTCATTATTCGCTCCAAGGTAGTGCGTATGGATGTACTTTGTTGACTATTTTTTCTCCCATGAGCTGTCGCCACCTACCCATTACATCCTACCATATAACCGCGCTATCGTTCCTCTTTCTTTTGTGCCCGGACCGATGAAGATGTCACTGAATCCTCGGACCTTCCAAGGCGGGGGTGATCGCAAAAGGCGCCCTTTTCTCGCAACGTCCAAAGATGGCACCCTTGCGACTTCCACGCGAGCTCTGGCAGCGCACGGCGCTCCTCGCGTGCGTGGCGTCTACCGTCGCGCTCGCCATCAACCTCGGCTGCCTGCTCTGGGCCACGTTCCGCGAGCACGAGCCGCTGGACGGCGGGCTCCGGGTCATCGTCCAGGGCTCGTGCAAGAACATCAAGATGGCGAACACCGGCATCCACGTCCTCATCAACGTCCTCAGCACGGCCCTCCTCGCCGGAAGCAACTACTGCATGCAGGTGCTGTCGGCCCCGACCAGGGCGCAGGTCGACCGCGCCCACACCCGCGGCCGCTGGGTGGACGTCGGGGTACCTAGCCTGCGGAACCTGTTCGTCGCCGTCGGCTGGCGCAACAAGATTCTCTGGGTCTTGATGGCCACCTCGTCCATCCCGCTGCACTTGCTGTACAACTCGGTTGTCTTTTCGACGATATCCGCCAGTTGGTACACCGTCAACCCAACACCGCGGTACCTCGTCTCCGCCTGGGAAGGTCTCAAGAAGAGACCAGATGTTCCAGGCCATTTTAAGGACCTTGTATCCAAATATCACCAAGGAGACCTCACGAGGTTGAGCGGGAAGGATTGCGTCAAAGCATACGGGCCGGCCTGGCAGTCGGAGTGGAGTGACTTGCTGATCATATACGGCGAACATGGCCCTCAAGCCGACAGCAGCCATCGGGATGCTGTTAACCCGGAGGTATGGGTTGATATGTCATGGTCCCAGTTCGAAGCGTCCGATAGCAGCTGGATATGCTGGTGGCCAAATGCTGTCGGAACAACAGTTGGCCAGGGTGGCCAATGCGAAGAACAAATAAGAAAATGGGGAAACGGCGAGCCGGGAAACGATTACCCGCTGCGCTGGCACTGGCTTGAATGCCATGCACTGCCGGGAAAAAACCGCTGCCGGCTCGTCCTAAGCCCTCATCTTGGCTGGGTTGTGGTCGGGATGAATGTGGTCAAGGTGGCAGTCATGGCATTCATCGCCTCGACAAACGCATCTGCATCTCCGAGCTGCTCGTCAATCGACGACAAGCACCTATTTGAAGACGATGGAATGCCCCTGGTGCAGCGAGAGGCTTCTTCGGAACATATCCCGATACTCACTATCGGGGATGCTGTGGCATCATTCCTCCGCACCCCAGACGAGCGAACCTCGGGGATGCCGTTGTTCAGCTGGCGGGATGGGAATCACTTTTCATGGTGGGCAGATCTGCGCCAGCAGCACCGCTTCCCCTGCTACCGTCAGGCGGGCATTCCTGAGCGAAAGGCTGCCGTTGCGGAGCCCTGGCGTTGGGCGTGCAGTATCGCATTGTGAGCCTTTGTTCACCCCCTGGGCTTTATCTATCTCGCAGCTCCCACTGCCACCTGTGACTGGTCGGGGTTTCTCCCCTGCGCTAACACGACATCATGGTTGCCAGCTCGGCTGCCCTCCTCCTCACAGCGGTAGGCTTGATGATCAAGGGGTTGCTTGGTGACTTGGGTAGTGTCATCAGCCCCCAAGACTTCTTCGGCGAGCTGGGGAAGCCGTCGTCTAGGACAATCATGTCGGTAGGGCTGGAAGGCGTGAACAAGAACGTTCTGCTGGCCAACTTGCCTCAAGCCCTTCTCTCATTCACCTACGTGTCGTACAACTCCCTACTCACGCAAGCGTGCGTGGCGACGGAATGGGACCGCTTTGCGCAGACGACCAAGGGCATCCGCGTCTCAACACACCGAGCGGGCGCGCAAAGAGCCGCATACTTTCTGCAGCTGCCTTTCCGATATGCGGTTCCGCTCATCGTCGGCACGGGCGTGCTGCATTGGCTCGTTTCACAAACCATATTTCTCGTCTTCGTCGAGTTCGTGACGAACCACGAGGTGAAGCCCAAGAAGACGCAGATATCCTGCGCCTGGTCACCATTCGGGGTCGTTCTAATCACGCTAGTCGGCACCCTGATGCTTATGGCTCTGGTGTGGGTGGCATCCAGGCGCCTCCGCAGCCCCATGCCCATTGCCGGCAGCTGCAGCGTGGCCATATCGGCCGCCTGTCATCCGTTGGCATACGAAGAAGGCGCGTGGGAGAAGCCTCTGTGCTGGGGAATGCAAAGAGGTAATAGCCAAGATGAGACAATCGAGGTACAGGTGATCGGGGGTGGAGATGGAATCAACAGCCAAAGGGAACAAGTGCTAGGACATTGCAGCTTTTCGAGCAGGGAGGTTGAAGCTGTGAAGCCAGGGTGCTGGTATCGATAGGACCACGGGGCCCAGGGCTCGGGTAGACTACGGATGATTGCGGAAACATGCTCTCCCGTATATCGTACATGCGGCGGACGATTCAGACCATCGGTCCTTCTCCATTCCTCTTTCCCACTCCCATCTCAAGCTTCCCCACTTGCGATGGGGGCCCCAGAATCTAGTTGTTGGTGAAACAAGCCGGCATATTCCTTTTTATTCCCAGGGATTACGCCACAACCACGAGCACCGAAAAGCTAGGACCAGTAGCCCAAGCTCCATGCAAGACAGGCACTAATCACACCGGTGGATCAAGGAGCAGGCACATTTGTGCTCGATGAGAAAGCCAGCCCTGGGCCGCTTGGCTGCTGGATCCCTCGGCCGCCTGGCCGGACCAGGGGAGACGGGCCTGAAATAATTGGCCCGTAACGGGCAGCCGGGGACCAGAAGGTTCAAGATTCGATCCACTACAGGGAAAATAGGATATTAAACGTTACGACCCGCAGATCCTTCCTAATTAGGCCACTCCGAATCTACATTTTTTCCCATAGAAAATTCCAAACTAACGTACCGCTACCCGCGCCTCCATTTGCCAGAACCCACTAGAATCGTCCCAAGCTGTTAGTCACAATACATTAACTCCTACTACAAATTGTGCGTTAAGATATGTACACCTATCCCCCACAGCGTAACGTTTAATATCCTATTTTCCCTGTACGTTACTTTTCCCCCCGTGGGTTAAGCGAGGCAGGCGCATGCATGCAGCACTGGAAAGTGAAGGCATGCGGCGGGTTTGGGGGGTTGCTCATACTGTAGTAAGCGCACGGATGGCTTCACACCGACTCTTCCTCAGCGACCCTGAGGGGGACATATGGGTCGCGGGTAGACGACGCTCCACGCGAGCCGAGACCAATGCAAGCCATGTCATATGAAACCACACACCTCCCGCACGTAAACGAACGCCACACCCGAACCTTTCCCGCCACGGCTAGCGCTCTTCTCATAAACATAGGGAAAGAGCAAGAAAAAAAACTCGACGGGTGAAAAATGTCCGCTTGCCGGTCGTTGAGGAGCCAATGCCGAGCCAGTGCCGGACGGTAACGTTACAGTCAGTGGGAGGGCACCTGACCGCACCGCACTGCGTCTTCTCTTGGCATTGGGAGGGCGCAAGGACGGATATGATGTGCGGAGGAATTGAAGTTGGGAGATCACGGGAGTTAAATGACGGTTTCCCGCTCGAGTTGATAAGAACTGGGTTTTAGGTTTCGGGTCCCGAGGAACAGAAGTTGGTTGGGTAGTGAGAATTGTGGGAGGCCAGGCTAGCTTACTATGTGTCTGTGCCTCCTCCAGCTCTCCCCCTGGGGCAAGGGTCTTCATCAAACCCCGCAAGGCCAGCCATCCCCGCTTCTGTCAAATATCGCGTAAGCGGATTTCTGCGGGAAACGAGACCCGTCAGCAAACTGACTGAATCACCGGGTCAGCAGAGAGTGGGGGATGAAGGCTCCATCCAGGCCTGGAATTTTTTCGATTTCTGGGGATCCATTCCCCATGTGGGGACAAGATCTCGCGAGGTGCAACGGGTATTTAGACGACATGAGCTTGGTGGGGACACGCCACGCGGATGTGCTGCAATAAGAGCAAAGAAAAAAAAAAGTTGAATCGATAAATAATGCATTGGCTAATAATGACAGCAAAAGAATAAAACCGACCAAAACGCCTATCACAAACTAGCTCGTCCACCCTTTGCACATCTCGACAGCTTTCTCCCACCGCCCAAACCGCTGCGCCGCCTCTTCTGCCTTGATCTGCGGCTTGAAAATGGTATTTCCTGCCTTGTTGACCTCCTTGAGATCGTCAAAGCTTTCCCAGACCCCGACGGCAAAGCCCGCGGCGATGGCCGCGCCGAGGGCTGTGGTCTCGCGCATGGCGGGGCGGTTGACAGGGATCCCGATGATGTCGGACTGGGTCTGTGCGGATTTGACGCGACGGGTCAGATGTGATGTTGCTGGGGTGAGTAAAACTTGGGGGAGAGACGAGGGAAAAAAAAGAATAAGACGTACCTGCATGATCAGATCTGAGTTGCACATGCCCCCGTCCACGGCCAGCTCCGTCAGCGCCGCGCCGCTGTCCTTCTCCATGGCGTCGAGGATGGCCTTTGTCTGGAAGCACGTGGCCTCGAGCGTGGCGCGCGCGACGTGGCCGCGCTGGGTGTAGGACGTGATGCCGAAGATGGTGCCGCGCGCGTCGTCGATCCAGTAGGGGGCGAAGAGGCCGCTAAAGGCCGTCACGAAGGTGCAGCCGCCGTTGTCCTCGACCGTCTCGGCCAGGGCCGACAGCTTGGCCGACGACTCGATGAAGCCAAAGTTGTCCACGAGGAACTTGACCGACGAGCCCGCGACGGCGATGCTGCCCTCGAGCGCGTACATGACGTGGCCCTCGCCAAAGTCAAAGGCCACCGTCGTCAGCAGCCCGTGCGTCGAGACGACGGGCTTGGGCCCGACGTTGTACAGCAGGAAGCAGCCCGTGCCGTACGTGTTCTTGGCCAGCCCGGCCGTGAAGCCCTTTTGCCCCACCAGCGCCGCCGACTGGTCGCCCAGGCAGCCCGTGATCCTGGTCCCGCGCAGCGCCGTACCCGCCAGGGAGCCGTAGGCCTTTGGGTCCGAAGACCGCACGATCTTGGGGAGCAGGATCCTGTCCCGGTCGAGGCGGAACCAGTCGATCAGGTCCTCGTCGTAGGCGAGCGACTCGAGGTTCATGAACATGGTGCGCGACGCGTTGGTCGGGTCCGTCACGTACACGTCGCGGCCGGCGCCGCCGTTGAGACGGTACACGAGCCACGTGTCGATGGTGCCAAAGGCCAGCGTGCCGCGCTCGTACGCGTCCTTGACCTCTGGCGCGTTCTCGAGCAGCCACAGGAGCTTGCTGACGGACGGGTACGTCGAGAGCGGCAGGCCGCACCGCGCCGTGAGCTCGCCCGCGCCTAGCCGCCGCTTGAGCTGCCGCACCAGGTCCTTGGACCGCGTGTCGGTCCACACGATGGCGTTGTGCAGCGCCTTGCCCGTCTCCCGGTCCCACACCACCGTCGTCTCGCGCTGGTTCGTGATGCCGACCGCCTTGATCTGGTCCCGCGTGTGGCCCTGCGCCTCGAAGTCGACCACCGCCCCGTCAATGCACTGCTCGACCGAGCTCACGATCTCCTCGGGGTCGTGCTCGTGCCATCTGGGCGTGGGCGCGGCTGGGTCAGCATCCTGCAAGAGGAGAGGGCCCGGCAAGCGCCTGTCCAGGAGGGAGATTGCCTCCAAGGTCTCACTCACCCTGGCTGTGGGTAGTACTGCTTGAACTCAAGCTGATGTGTCGCCACCACGTCGCCGTTGCGGTTGAAGATCAGGAACCGCGAGCTGGTGGTGCCCTGGTCGATAGCTCCGATAAATGAGAGATGGGGAGTCCCATTCACGGCGGCGGGAGACATGGTAGCGTCTGGAATCCTCGGCCTCTTGTGAATTCTTAGTTTCTTGGGAATGAGGGACCACCGCATCCAACACGGACTGGGCACTTGTTGGGGGAAGGAGAATGGGGTGAGGGAGGCTACGATGACAATAACGGCTGTCCGAGAAGCGAGGAGGAGAGGGATGCTGGGAAACAGCGTGACTACCTGCAAGGAACCCAAACTTTATGACCGGGCGCGCAAAAACATTTGTATTCTCCCCCGCGCGCGGCCCACGCATCGCCGGCGCCAGACGGCAAGCCAAAAACTGTCCCAAGCCATCACATGGAAGCCGCTGGTGCAAAAGCAGGCAGCACACTACTAGCTCGACTGTAAGCCAACCCCTCATCGTATCAACCTGGGCGAGCTTGTCTACCCCATCCGATCCCCCGCAAAGTGCGGAGTCGGCTGCCCTCGGCGGTTCTGGGGAGTTGTCCCCCGCACCTCATTTTTTTCTTCTCTTTTTTATCCTCTAATTTTTCTTTTCTTTTTACTCTTTTTATTTTTCTCTGGTAACACCGTTCCTGTCCAAGTGGACACAGAACGAGGCCATGCGTGCGGTGCCCATCCCGGAGTGGTCCTTGCACCCCCGCCTCTCGAAACCTAATCCATGGTTGCGCAGGACCGGGGTGTGCTGCCGTTAGTTGCGCCGAAGGATGGCGAAGGATCGAGACTAGAGTGGAGGGCACTCACCGGGAGCATGGTCTTCTTTCGCACACCGCGCCTAAGAACATCTGGGCCTTGTGAACCCACCCCGCTTGGACCTGCTTCGCCTCTCCCTGTAGCCTACAAGTGGATAGGCAGTCACGGTATCTGGAAAATAGTCTGGACCGCAATTTTTTTCCCCACCCATCCCAACACAATTGCACCAGCACCAAAGCCAAACAACATGCCCGCGCACCACTCTACACCT